TTTTTTTTTTTTTGGGAGAGGGGGGGGGGGGGGTATGAAGACATATTTTTTCCTATCAATTAAAGAACCACATGGATTTTTTTTTTTTTTTTTTGGGAGAGGGGGTATGAAGACATTTTTCCTCTAAAATATGTCTTCATACCCCCCCTCCCAAAAAAAAAAAATCCATTTGGTTCTTTAATTGATAGGAAAAAATGTCCCCTAGTTGGACTACTGTACATTTACACATATGCTTCACATTCCGAGAGAAACAAAAACAAAAAAAAACAAAACAGAAAAAGGCCAAAAAAAATCAAACAAAATACGAAAAAAAAAAAAAAAAAAAGAATTCTGCTTTTGTATTTTTAACTTGACCTCTATCATAAACAAAAAAGTATATATATATATATATACTCCAATGATGATCCACTCCACAGTTGGGCCTTACCTGCCAGTGGGATGGTCTCCGATGCATAGAGAGTCAAATCCAATTAGAATTTTATGTTTCAACCCAACCAATTAGGGTTTACAGGCCTTTTGATACATTTGCATGCGACCCAGGCAATTTTTATAACTGCAATTACATTACGAAGTCGACAGAGTTCGCAAAATTAAGGCACAAAATTATGGTCAATAATTCGGTCACAAAAAGGGGCGACATTTGTAACGCAACATGAGGCGTCCTAAAACGTTATTTATTTCTAGAGTTGATGATCAAGAATAGTAAGAGAAAGAAAAAGTCTTGGCAATTTTAAGAGTACCAACTTTTATTTCAGAAAAAAAAGAAAAAAAAAAAAGAAATTTGATTTGATAATAAGAAAGTAAATTTCAGGTTCAATTATTGAATTAAAGCATGTTGTTCTTCGTGGAAGTAGACAATTTGCCATAAATTTCGTTTTTGTTTATGCTTTTATCTGTTAAAGTTGTCAATTGAGTGTGAGCGATCATAGCATAGTTCTCATTGCGAATAGAATGTCAAAGCATGAAAATTAAGAATAAAGTAAACATAATAATTAAACAACTTTGGCTATAATGAATCTTAAATCTATTATATTGTTTTTCTTCTCTCCTTTTTTCCCGGACATCTTCATGCAAACATGCATAGACTTCAAGAATATAAAAACTTGTTAAGGTAGCATCTGTCTGTCTCCACAAGGCCAAAATGGTCATCGCCAATGCTAGAATGAATGACTTTACAGTCTATATATACTGTTTTACAAAAATCATTTTGCTTTAGATTTAGTTATAATTTCTAAATTTCTATCCAAATTCACTCAAATTTGAATAGAAGTTCAAGGGTCTCATATCTCTTATAAATTTATAATATGCCAACAATGGATTATCCTCAATCATTAACGCACAAAATCCCAACTTTATCCAACCCTCCTCACATTCCATTAGCTACTTATCTTTATTGATGACAAATATAGGTTCCACCAAGTTCGTCCTTTCTCACACCCTCGAGACTCTTTAATCCTCCAACCCCAATTATCCCATGAATTTTTATTGTGTGGTTTAAAGCTTTTGTTCCTAAACACAACTTTATTTTATGGCTTTAAATCAAGAACAGATTACAAAGCTATGATAAATAATCCTTTCTTTTTTTTTTTTTTCTCCTTCTACATCTTCAACAAGTGCATTCTCTGTTTAAACAACCCAAAATCTCACACCTCTTCTTCCAATGTCCCTCTTCTTCAGAAGCTTGGAATGTGAGTCGATCAATATTTGGATTTTCAGTTTCTGATAAGTTGGGCATCTGATTTCTGAAAGTTGGATATAGTGAACTCCCTTGGTAAGTAGATGAACACACTTACGAGATTGAAACGTATTGATATTCAAATGAATATTTGAATTTTTTGTTTTTAACAAGACTGTAAAATTATTCCATAAACAATGATACAACCTCCCATTTGTGAGAATGTATTATTATCGTTGTTCTATTATGAGCTGGTACGATGGGTTGACCATTTGATTTGATATTTTGTCCTTATTTGCTTTTATCTTTCTTAAATATATTTAAAATGATACTTTAATATAGAAATTTTAAATTCTGACACAATTTCTTAGATGCCCGAGAAAGACGGCATGAGGTGCTGAATTTTATTTTATTTTTGTCCCATTTGTTCTTTTCTTCTGCATTGACCCATTAAAGTCGATGCAAAGTCTTTGTTTAACAAAGAGATGCGCTGGAGTCCATGCAGGCTTCATGAAGAGATATGGATAAATGGAGAAGAAAAATAAAATAAAATAAAGTAATAAATTAAGATCCATTAGCAAATTAATTAAATTACTATATTTATTTTATCATGTTTTCACATTCTAATCCAACCGTGAACTAGATTAAGATTCAGGTGCAACCTCGAAGTACAGAGATTGATTTTTATTATTGTAGAGCTCCTCTTAATGCGCGTAGAAGTAGAACCCGTATATTGTTGACTTTTATTCTATTAATTTTAGCATCATATGAATAAAATAATAATACTTGTTGTTGACTTGGGAAACAAATTTTGGATAGATATGTCATGGTTATGGCTACTTCATTGGACGTTCAGTTAAGTACTGACTTGAGTAGTTCTGTTTCCTGTTATCCTGTTGAACTTGAGTTCTTTGATGATAGTGTAATACCATTGAATAATTCTCCATTCTCAAAGTTGACGGATGGGCTCTAACACAATAACAGAGTAATATCATTGAATAATCGAGGCATTTTCAAAGATGAGTGGCGAGATTCGAACCCAAATATACAATAAAATATGTGTGTGAATGAACGTTTGAATGTATTGCTTAACAATAATAATTATAACATGGTTTATAGTACTTGCAAATACGCGTCGGTTCAAAATTATTTTTTAAGGGTTCAATACCATTACACATTTTCATAAATCGGTGAATTCAATCGATTTATATCAATATTTGCTTGAATTCGTTACACCACGACTATAAATCATAAATAATAATAATAATAATAATTTAAGGCGCATTTTATATTTATTTTCAATCATGGTCCAACGTTGAATCTCCTCTTAAAAGAAAAAAGAGACCTTATACCATCTAAGTTATAGCGCATTATTTGAGATTCTAATACATTGTAATTAATTTGTTTTGAGTAGTTTAGATCAATTATAAAAATTAGGAACAAATTACCTTCTGAGTAGTAAATCAGACCAAAGGCAAATCTTGCCTTCCAAAATAGAAAGTCAATAATTCAAGTATAAGAAAAAATGAGTGTATGAATGTATTTCTTCTTAAAAAAAAAAATTACAATAAACCAGTCAACTTACAAAAACTAAACTATTCTTCTTTGACAAGCATTCATATCCTCAAATAAATGATTTCCATCTTTAATTGGTCATTTACCATTAGAGAGATTACGATTTAATGCATTGAACTACTCCCTCATAAAATAATAATATATAATTTAGGATGTATTTATAAAATAATAATAAATTAAAGAGAAAAAAGTGGATCCCATTGAGTTATGTTTTTATTATATTAATTTCATAAGTAAAAGAATTAACAGTGGCAGGCGTAGGATTTGAGGTCACCGTTACACTAGTTACGCAAGCTGATGGAATTTGCAGTGACTTCATCCACCTCGGTAAACATCCGACCTAATAAATTAATTAATCCTTTATTACATTCATTATAATAGACGGCATTCGTTTACCAACTTTACTTAGAATGGGCCTATATGTTGTCTTCTTGTATAATATTTGGTTTTTTGGATTATTAGATAAACAAATCACTTGCATCTCTCCCTGAATAGATTTTTACTGCCCGGTGCAGCTTGGTCCTGATTAGTTCGGTTTACAATGCACCATGCAGACTGAATGGATACCCTTACTATCCTGGTGTAACAAGGGAAAGTTTATCCCACGTTAAATTAGAATGAAAAAGTGAATCGGTATATTTAGGTTGGTTTGGGTGTTACTTAATAGTTTTTTTTTTTTTTGGTAAATGGGTAAATGTGTACGTATTACAGTTGATATTAGAGTCAGACCCAATATTTGATTTAGTGTCAAGTCAAGCGCCTAATCCGGAGGTCGTCCGGGTCTGCACACCAGGTAGGCAAAGTGGTTCGAGTAGCAACAAGAGTGTTGCAAGTTCGGGTGAAGGAATATGTAACAAGGGACAGCTTGTCTCATCAAATCCGAATAAAAAAGTAAATGAAAAGTCCACTTAATAACTTAAACTTTTTAATAAATGAACAAACTTCCACGGGTTACACTTGCCATTTGTTTTTCATCAACTTTAATCAAAATTTAAAGTCATGTGCTGAGGCAGTGCTTAGCGTGTGCCGTTCCGAAATCCTACGCGATTGGACTTAGTCAACCATAGTGGGATATTAGTGAAAATCAAAGTGCTTCATAGCCGGTCGTCATATCACAGGTCGTTTTAGTAATACACGAAGTTTTGCATTATCAACAGAACAAACGCAGGGGTAAAACAGCGCATATGGCTCTCAAGGTGGGCAAGTAAGGCATATGATCGGGATTGAATGGTCTTTCTTGGTGGTTATCCTTCCGAAGATGGATTTGAACCCTCACTTGATTCATTTTATTTTTGAATGAATCCATAAGGACGACCTTTTTAGCCCGAAAGAAGCATGAAAATGAATTCGCTGTGACTCCTAATCTAATTATCATGAAGAGTTTGCTTTTGCTTTGAAGCTGCTAACAAAGTTTTGCCTTTTTTTACCAAAAAAAAAAAAAAAAGTTTTGCTGCCTCGTTATGAAACAAAGTTCGTGTGAAGTTACTTGGACTAAGTTTGATTGATACATTGAGATGGAATGTAATTGGAAATAAAACGTGAATGGTGCACAAATGAAATAGTGATTCTGATTTCATTGATTGGTTGTAATCATGTAACAATATAGAAATGACATACAGAGTAATAATTTATATTTTTCTATTTGGTCAAATAATTTTAAAAGTCATAATGAAATTAATTTTTTCATTTCCCTTGTTGAATTAAATTTAATAAATAGTTAGAAATTACCAAATAAAAGAAAAGAATCATCTGAACTCAAATTGGATACACACTTCAAATTAAAGATCAAGCACAGCACGTACAACAACATTAATTGAAAATAGACCAAAATGAAAAAGAAACATAACATAGGCCTTGATCTAGAATTGATCACTCAGACTCAGAGGGAGCTCTTTAACATGCCCTTTACGGCAGATCTTAAGAGCTCGTGACCTTCTTTCACCTGCATCAATCCTTCACGCAACTTCTTTTCTCCATTGCCAGCCTTGTTAAAAAAATCTTCAAACTGAGGATTTGAAAACCTGAAGAGGGACAGGACATTTGCTGAATCAGCTATCTCAAGGCAATGTTCCATATCAAGATCATTTTTCGAGAGTTCTTCTAGAAGTGTCCGAAGACTGGGTTCCATAGTCTTCTTAAAATCATTCAAAATTCTCCTCATTGTAGGCCACTTGGAGAATCTTTGCCCTTCCTGATTATTTCTCTGATCTGTATAAAGAAGGGCAAAAAGATCAATATTCTTCGGAAGTTGCACTAAGAACTCATTTGCTAGAAAAGATCCTTTTGATAATACATATATATATATATATATATATCATGTGTGCATGTCATATATGTATATATTTAAGTGATCCACATACAAAGATGAATTTTGTTTAAGATCGATCATGATCTATGAACTACAAATTGGTATTGCTGGCTGAATTAATGCTTGGTGATATGTAGATTAAACTACAAATTACCTGGAGCTTTGCCATTGTTTGGAAAAGGTTTGAGAGCCTTCTCGTTTGGAGTAGTAGCGAGTCGAGATCTAGGGTTTTGAAGACCTGCCTCCACTCCTTGGGGTGGAGTGTTAGTAAGGATGACGCCGGCGTCACTAGTTTTTCGTTTCTTACTTACGGGACTGCCGGGTTCATGAATAAGGTCATAGGCATAGTCGTCGCTAGATTTCAGAAGGTATTTTTTCCCATCCATCAGGACTTCCTAATTCACCACTCACATTTTCTAAACTCGCTATATGTATATATAGCTCGATACTCATCCAACATGCTAGATGTTAATAAATGAATAAATATCTGCAATTTTTTAAAGTGAGCAACTAAGGACATTTAAAGAGTAAAATGCTTAAAATGCATTTAAGACGAAGACGAAAAAAAAAAAAAAAAAAAAAAACTCTCCCTCTCGAAAATCAAAAATGATATTTTGAAATTTTATGATAATAATAACAAAAATATGTCAAAATTTGATTGTCAAGAAATATTTCGAAAACAATTTGCACAACAAAATTTTCAAATATTGAAGGGTTGTTTATATAAATATACTCATACTTAACATGTAACATGAGGAGTATTTTGTGCATAATTTTTATACAAAGAGAGTTTCTTGCATTTTACCATTGTATATAAATCGGTGGCATGATAGAAAGAAAGAATAGAAGTGATAAATTTGTGATTTATATATAAATTGGTGGCATACTAGTCTTCTCATCATTATTTATCTTGGAAGTCACACTCGCACACATCAGATAGCTATAGATGTCAGAAGACTCAGAACAATACTTCCAAAATTGCGGGGGGAGGATGAACTTCATCCTCCCTGCATACGTGGCAACATATTATTGTGCCACGTATCCAATACTAAAACAAATATGAAGATGGGTCATGCCCATTTTTGCGGTTTAAACCCGCTCTTCTCTTTCTCTCTAAATGTAAAAGACTCCATTCTCATTCTCAGCCTCTGCCCTCCCACCACCATCAACGCCATCATCCTCAACGACGTCGCATCGGCACACTCTGCCAGAGAGATCGGCCACAGGTCCTACGGCGAGACCATCCGCTAGAAAAGTTAAGGTACGATATAAAATTTGAAACCCTTTTTGAACCCTAAAATCAATTGGTTTTTACTTGAAACACAAAATTTGAACAACTCATCTGATGCGTACCTCCCAAACTACAATCACTGTCAAGAGAGAGACCAATAAAACAAAAACCAACTAAGAAATCGCAAATACCCACCCCACCACAAAATCTGCTTTCCTTTTTATGGTCTGAATAAGACTGGAAAATTGACAATAGGCATTAAAAGAAAATCATAAAATTAAAAAATTTACAGGCCCGTGAAAGCAAAACAACAAACTACATAAAAAAATAAAAAAATTTACAGACCCGTGAAAGCAAACCATGGTCTCTGTCTTTATATGCCCGGTTCAAGGTCCTTGAGGACGGCGCGTGGGAAGAGCCTCTCACAACTGGCCTCGTTGTAGTACACATTGACTTGCCTTGGTGGTGGGAGAAGGAGTGGAAAGGCGGATACATTAAGGCTTCTTTTGGATTGAGAAATTTAGAGGGATTTGGAGAAAAAAAAAACAGGGAAGGATAGAGATGAGTGTGTTTGAATGGAAGGAATAGGAAAAAAAAGAAATGATTTGGAGAGATTTGGAGGGATAACAATCCCTCATTTGGAATCCCTCCAAAATTGATAAGATTTGAAAAAAAATAGAGCAAATTACAGAAGGGGCAAGGGAGTTGAGAGACAGCGACCAAACTAGAACAACAGGTAATAGAAATTGATTGATATGGGTTTTGATTTTTTTAACAATCTGAAATGATATGCGGATATAGGTTTTGATATACAGTTGCAGAGGGAGAGAGGGAGACTCAGAAGGAGATGGAGGCTATTGGGCAGGCTAATATATATATATATATATATGCAGTTGCAGAGAGAGAGAGAGAGAAAGAGAGAGTTGCGCAGTTGCAAAGAGAGAGAAAGTTGCAAAACAAGAATTACAAACCTTGATTAGTTGATTTTAGAAAAAAATTTAAATTAAAACCCATACATACAAGTTAGCAGTTGCAGAGTGTATATACATCTATACAAACACAAACATATATATATATATATATATCGTTATTTTGATGTGTGTGTCTATGAATGATCTCATCGATGAGCTCAAGTCAGCTTCAGCGGAAATTTTAGATGTATCTATCAACATTCAATAGAAAAAAAAAAAAATTACAAGAAAAACCTTGAAATCAGATGAAACCCATACATATAAGTTAGCAGTTGCAGAGAGAGGGGGGCAAGCTTGAAATATATGGGTTTTGATTTTTGGAACAAATTAAAATGATATGCCGATATGCAGTTGGAGAGAGAGAGGATCAGAGATAGAGGCGATGAGAGGCTGAAATGATTTTGTCCTACTAACCTTATCAAAAAGGGTAAGATGGTAATTCATTATTATCTTTTTTTTTCTTTTCTCTCCTTTGTGTTACTTAAACAACAATATTATCAATTCATTTTTTTTCTTTCATATGTATTCTAATATAAATATAAATTATAATTATCATTTCATTTTTTTTTTTTTATTTTTTTTTTTTTTTATAATCATTTCCTTTCTTTTCTCCGTGTATCCAAATGAAGCCTGAGAGAGGTCGTTGTGGCTGAAATTGCCCATAACTGTGGCTGATTCGAAGGTCCAGCAATGGCAGCAACGGCAGGAGGAATCATGAAAAATTCTTTGTCAGGGATGGCGTTCGGCAGAAGAACCCTCCCGCCACTGCCAACGGCCCACACCGGCACGAGACCTTGCTGCGTCACCGGCGCGACCGACGCGAAATTGGAAGAGACCGAATCATTTACGCCGTAGAAATCGCTGTTACACGCTTGCTTTCTCTTCTTCCTCGAGCTGTCTCCTTCCGATGTGGTCGTCGGTGTGGATGATGGCGTTGATGGTGGTGGGAGAAGGAGTGGAAAGGCGGAGGCTGAGACTGAGATTCGGGTTTCTGCATTTAGCGAGAGAGAGAGGAAAAAACCGGTTTAACTCGCAAAAATGGGCATGACCCATTTTCATAATTATTTTAGTATTGAACACGTGACGCAATAATATGTTGCCAAGTACGCCGGGAGGATGAACGCAGGATAGAAGTATTCTCCTAGATGTCACTGCTTACGCCTGCTACAGTTAACTTCTAAATGGTATTAGATCTGCAGCATATTTTGTTTAGACTTAAACAAACCTTAAAACAAGTGCAGCTTCACTTCACATGGCCCATCCTTGGTTCATGTGATATTTGACTTAATCAAGGCATGGTAATTTCAATGGCTATTTAGCCAAACGTCTGTATTACTATTCACGAGGTTGTCCGGACTATTTCTTATTTAATTATTTTAATAGACAAATTCGGATATATAGCAAGAAGACAGGTTATCTTTATGTTTTTTCATGATATATTTGATTAATTTTAATTAAGCTATATATCCGAATTTGCCTCATACCAATAAATCCCCATTTAAGTATATTAAAATAATTAAATAAGAAATAATCCAGCTGTTACAAACTCTTCTCTTCAATAATTTGCAATTAATTAGATTCTAGTGGGAAATATAAATGGTATATATTCAGGATTTAAGTGAGACTGAGAACCACGATCAGTGCCAGAGAGGAGACCATAAGCAAAGCCAAGTCAAACTGAAGCATAAGGTTGGCAGCAGAACAGCATAAAGAAATCCTTTCCGGTAAAGAGAGGCAAGATCCAGGTAATATTTCAACTAATTGGTACCAAATTAGATATATATTAAGAGTACAGTCCTTGCCATCGCCCATCCTTCCCTAGCTATTAGATTAACTCCTGTCCTATTGCTCCAATAGAGACAACTCAATCATCTAATATCCTTCACCCAGCAATGCAATGGGTTCATCAGAAATCCATGGCCTATAGTCCACTGACTTCATCGTCTTTGGTCCTCCCTATTTGTACCTTGCCACTGTTTCGTCCTTCCGTTAGTTTGCAAGATAAATAGAATATCACCCATATAAGGCCGAGCAAAATCTTTGTGGCTTTTTCATACACTGATCTACAATGGCCAATTTTCATCACCAGCAAAATCTTTGTGGCTTTTTCATACACTGATCCAATTGTTTGGCTTCATTCTTCTTTGGGCCAAGACTGCAATTCAACAGTATTTAATTTTAAGTTAGACTAGCAAGTGTGTCCATCATATAAGGCCGAGCAAAACATACCCCAGTATTTTTTTCTTTTTTTTTAACTCCTCTCAATTCAAGTCAATCTAGACCTCTAGCTTGGCTTGTGGAATCTTCCATTTCATTATTCTTATTCTTATTCTTATTCTTATTATTTTGAAGCTTAAAGAAAGTGGAATTTTCCGTTATTCGGTTTGTGCCCCTTCTCATGATTTTTAGATCATCACCTCACTTCCAACACCTATTTTTATAGTAACTCTTACCTGGGCTGCTTCAATTGTGTCTTACCTGTCGCTGCTCCTGGTACGTTTGCCTTCTTGTTGGAGTGCGGCTCCCAAATTTTTATTTTTTTTGGGTCCAATTTGAGATTGGTTTCAATTTCCTTGTGTTTTCTGGCTTCTTGGTTAGCCATTTGGCTTGCTTTGTTCCCCTTATGTCTCTCGTATATGTCTTGAGTAATAATATTGTACATATAAATTCCACTTGAAAGATATTGTACATAGTGTTTTAGGTTTAACACCCACTTTCGTTTAAATATCATATTTCTTTGTTTTTTGATTGGCTTTTTTAGTTTCAGTTGTTTGCTGTACTTGTCCTGTCTTCATGCACACAATATTTTGTTTATAAACCGATTTTAGGTTGTAGTCTGTGGCACTTTTCAAGTTTCAAAGTAAAATGTTGAGTGTTTGAGTCCCTATAAAATTATTGGGTGCTAAATAAACCTGTCAATGGATTGAAGATAGAAATGGAACAAAAAATTCAATAACCATTCGAATCCGATAAGCCATTGGCCTAACAAATCCAATATAGATTATGTATATATATAATAATATTTTATATTATATCAATACTCCATTCAGATTTGTAATAGAGTTAACAAAAAAATAATAATAATAATCATAATCTTATACGTACAATAGTGTGGTGTTCTCATTCATACACTAATAATAAATCTCCTGATATACATACTAATTATGTCATAATAAGTATTCATTAACAAAAATTAAATGATCTTTTTTTTCTTTTCTTTTCCTTCCATATTTTATTTATTTTTTATTTTCTATCATTGTTTTTTAATTTTTTTGACATTAATTTCTTTTCTTTTTATAAAAAAGAACACCTTTATAGAATGTGATATACATTTATTAACAAATCGAATATGAATTTACTTACCAAAAAAAAAAAAAAAAACATCTCCAATTATCGGATCAGATCGAGTACCGTTGACAGGTCTAGGTGCCAGGGTTATTTAGAAAGAAAAAAAAAAAAAAGAAAAAGAAAAAGTAAGTTTATAATTCAGAAAATTATAATTACACGAGCAGTATGAAAGAAATATATATATTAAAAAATAAATAAAAAATTAAAAAAAAAGTGTGTTGTTTCTATGTCCCTACATTTACTTCCCATTTTTATTTCTAATAACTTTGCAGGATGTCCGAGGAAGAGGAAGTTAAATATGATGGAATCAAGGAAGAGGAAGAGGAAGAGGAAGTTAAATATGGAATCAGCTTTCAAGAATATAAAAATAAAATACGAATCGGAGATACTGGAACTGATGAATTGTGGACAAAAACAATTGAAAAAACGCTTCTTGTTTTAAAAAAAAGGTCATTGAACTTCAGTATCTATAGGGTTCCAAGCAAACTACGAAACATCAACGAAGATGCCTATAGCCCACGTATGGTTTCAATTGGACCTTTTCATCAAAGCCGAAAAGATCTGCTGAAAATGGAAGAGCACAAGTGGCGTTACATGCTTTTCCTTCTTGCTCGAACAAAAGATCGTGCAAAACTAAAAGAGGCACTGAAAGAGTGTGTCAAAGCTATTAATGGTTTGAAGCAAGAAGTAACTGGATGCTATGCAGAAGACCTCAACAACGTGACCTGGAATGAGCTGAGGGAAATTGTGCTGGTCGATGGCTGCTTCATAGTCGAACTTATTATCAGGTACTCCGAGAAAAATATTGGACAAAACCCAGATGAAGTAATCAATGGTGTTTGGATGATTCCAACCCTAAAACATGATTTGGCACTACTCGAGAACCAAATTCCCTTTTTTGTTCTCCAAAAGTTGTTTAAAATTATAGAGAGATCCATTGGCGAAGACTTCCGGTTCCCCTGTTCTCTCACTGAATATGCTCTACTTTTCTTCTTCCCCGAGTCGAATTCAAAGCAGGTCCAGGCTTTGAATTCAAAGAAAGTAAAAAAAGTTCTAAAGAGTGGCAGCCTAAATAGAGCCAGGCATTTACTCGAAATCTTGCACATTTTTTACCTCCCATCATCTCTAGATATCAATCCTAGAGTCCATCATACTTGGGGATTTAAGCATGGTGCAGCAAAACTCTTAGAGGCTGGAATTGGGATTGAGAAGGTCGCCACGAGTGATTTACTGGAGATAACATTCAGTGGCAGTGAAGGAGTGATTAAATTGCCACCGTTAAGCATCGATGAAACAATGGAAACAGTGTTTAGGAACCTCATTGCTTTTGAGCAATGCAGCGTCGGCGTTACACATCACATTACATCATACGCCATGCTCATAAAAAGTCTCATAGCTTCCACACAAGACATGGAGTTACTTCAGAACAAGCAAATAATTGAAAAATCTGCCAGCAGTGGTGAAGATGTTCCGACATTCTTCAAAAGGATGAGCAGGGAAGTGGTTCTCAAAGAGTTCTGCTTTGCTGAGTTATGCGATGATGTGGATAAATACAGTCGATCCTGGTTGCATTGTCGCAGAATCAAAGCATACTCAGGCGTCAGATGCCGCAGATACATTACCGCATTAAGAAATGATTATTTCTCCAATCCATGGACAATCATATCATTCGTTGCTGCCGTTGTGCTTCTAGTTCTCACTCTCTTGCAGACCATGTATGCCATGCTTTCTTATTACTAGAATCAACGTTAATCTTGTTTTTGTGTTTTTAGTTCTCTCTCCAATAAAATGCATTATGAATCTTTGCTTGGGAAAAGAAATGTATTATGCATCTTTAATTTATTCAATTGGCTGCCTTTGTAATTATTTTGTTTGCTCTGTAATGTTCTTGATTAAATTTTGGTCGGAGCTATTGTTTCCACTGGGCCTAAGGTGGCTCCATCACTGATGGGGTGAGCACAATAATGAGGTCGTAGTAAATCGCATAATCTTCTTAGTGAGTGTCACTCTCACGTTTTGCACTTTTAGTCTTATTTTTATTCTGTGTGACTTAAATTTGATCATTTATCAACGGATCAGTGACCTAATGGTATCAGTCTCTTACTTTCTAAGGAAAGGTCAGGGGTTCAAATCTCAGAAGAGACATATGTGTGAGTACCACCACGAAAAAAAAAAACAAAAATTATTATTTTTGTACTTTAACTCTCAAATTTGTTCTCTTTTTTTCTTACTCCGTGTGACTTACAAGCACTCAATATCATTTCGTGAGTTAGGGTCTAATAAATTGATGAATTTCAACTTTTTATTGTCTTATTAAATTTATATTTTGTTTGTTGTAAGGTTGTTTTCAACTGATGCAAAAATCATGCGCTCTTGTTATAAATGCTGACATTTAGGGTTGCATTTTAATTATATTAATTTCAGACGTTAAAGAATTCACACTAGCAGGCATAGAATTTGAGGTCGCCCGTCATACTGGTTGCGCAAGCTAATGGTGCATTGACTTCATCCACATTAGTTAATTTGAGGTCATCATCACATGTGATTTGGTCTGTCAAAGGATCTCGGATTGGTTAAATTCGTATCTGATTTGTTAAGTTGACATATAATTAAATTCAAATTGTCAACGGATTATCAGATTGACTGTTCATTTCATTGCTAACACGTTATCCGATTGAATATTCAATTCATATCATATTTAACTTGGATTCCGATCGAGACGAATTCGGACTCCGATTATTTTTATTTTTTTGACAAATATTAAAATGACATTTATAACTATATGGTTAGATAGAGTAGATAATTGTTAATATATAGGATGTTGCATAATATAACTATGCGATCAAATGAATATAGTAATAAATAATTATATACATATAAATTGAGGGAGGCGGTACTCCACTTTTCAATATTTGCACTTTTCAACATTTGTACTATAATTTTAAATGAAATAGTAATTTTAACCCTACAAGTAAATAATTATATTTTTAAAATGATACAACTGTCATTTTAAATTTATTCTCTTTATCTCTAATCTTTAATGAATCATAAATTTTTTAAGGTGTGTCGAACTTACTTTTATTTCAGCCAGGAGGGAACTTGTGTACTACTTTTCGTGCTCAGAATATACTTATTTAATTTACAAGAGATCTCGTAATTATGTATGTCGGCAAATAGATATATATTTTTTATTTATTCATTACTCCGTATTATACAGAATAAAACACTAGATTTTTATTTTTATTTTTTTTATTTTTTATTTTTAAATCTGATCTTCTTATTACATTATTATTTATTACTATATTCAACATTTGCACTTTTTAACATTTGTATTATAATTTTAAATGAAATGATAATTCTAACTTTAACTTTACAAGGAAATAATTATATTTTTAAAATGATACAAGTGTTATTTTAAATTTACTCTCTCTATTTTTAATCTTTAATGAATCATAAATTTTTTAAGGTGTGTGGAACTTACTTTTATTTCAGCCATGAGGGAACTTGTGTACTACTTTTCGTGCTCAGAATATACTTACTTAATTTAAGAGAGATCTCGTAATTATGTACTGTCAGCAAATAGATATATATTTTTTATTTATTCATTACTCCGTATTATACAGAATAAAACACTAGATTTTTTTTTTTTTTTTTTTAATTTTAAAATCTGATCTTCTTATTACAAGGGTGGGAAATCTTAACAAAGTCCACCCATTGGACAAGATTGACCAAGAAAATAGCTTTCAATAGATGGAACTGGATCAATTGCTTAAGATAAGGACAAACAAAAGTTTTTGTCATCATTCTTGTTTAGGGTTGGCAAATTCCACATTCCTGCCGGCCCCGCTCCGTTTATAGCGGGAATGGAGATCCTTTTAGCTAAACGGGAATGAAAATGAAGTCAAATTATGAATACATGGGAAATCTCAGCTTTTGGAGTACCTGCGGATAAATACCGCCGGCAAGAAAGAAAGATAGATTCTCTCGAGCATTTCACAGAACACAAATCTATTCCCACCATTTACAGGGTTCGAGATGAGTTACATAAGATGAATGAACGTGCATAGTCCTAGCCAGGGGCGGAGGGAAGGGGGGCTAGCGGGGCCCATGGCGTCCTCCTAATTTTTTGGATTTTTTTTTAGTATAGGTAAAAATAAAATAGTATAACTTATATGGTATAAGATCTATACTTAACCCCGCTAAGAATTTTTTTTTTCTTTCTTTAATTAGCATTTAACAAAAGATAGTTTATATATAATCTAAAAGAAAGTAATTTTATTGACGACTATAAAACCCCGATAAAAATTTAACGTGGCTATCTTAAAATTTCAATTCAAACACCATTCTTTCCATAACGTGACTATTTTAAAATCCTTCCAACTCAACCATAATTCTTTCCATAACATTATTTTCCTAAAATTTCATTTCATACATGATTCGTTCCATTACTTTTTTATTTTATTTTATATATTTATTGGAATGCTTTTATAAAAATTCTATAAGAAATTAATTTTTACAAAATCTAGAACAAAAATTTCATTTGAAGTTTGAATATCAACAAAAATCGATGATTTAAGAATCTAAATTCTTATTTTATTAATTTGTTTGTGTTTTTTTTTTCTTCATTGTTATTGTTTTGTTAAATTTTAAATTTTGTTTTTTTTTTTCTTTTCGATAAATAAAGAGAGTTATTTAATTGATTTTTTTTTTTTTTTTATAATTTTGGTATAAATTTTATTTGTGTTTGTTCACAAAGTATGATAAAAAATTTATTTAAATAACTAGTTTTTCTTTTTTGAGATAGATATATTTTTGTATGAATATACTAAATAGTAAAATATTTTTGCCTATGTAATATATTTTTTTTTTTCAAAAGTTTTAATTAAGTAATGTTGTTTATAATTTTGATCCCTACCCCAATCTCAAGATTAGTGTGGTAGCTATTGGGCCTCGTCACAGTGGGAAGAAACATCTGCAACCAATGGAGGCGGAGAAGCTTAGCTACATGCATTTCCTATTTAATCGAACACCAGATTTTAAGGGTACACAAGATGCTTGGGTGGAATCCATCTAAATAGTACGTATTACTCTTTCTGGTTATCTTAAACTTCACCTTTTGTGTTGTCTTTGTATTAAGAGGGTATTATGGTAATTTAAAAGATGAAAACAGGCCAAAATATATACTATATATATAGCGTGTTCAGCTGGTTTTACTAACGTGGATGAGGTCACTCCAATTCCCATTAGCTTGCGTAAGCAGTGTGACGGTGGTGACCTCAAATCCTACGCCTGCCAGTGTGAATTCTCTCACTTATGAAATTAATATAATCAAAACGTAACTCTAATGTCAGCAATTATAGGCAAACAAAAGTATATGACTTTTGCGTCAATTGACTATAACCCTACAACAAACGCAATATAAATATAATAAAACAGTAACAAGGTTGAAGAGAATGGAAGCATGCAGGTGCATGAGAGCATTAAATTTGTAAATTTCTTGCATCAACATATGATGAATAATCTCAAATTAATTTTTTACCTATAACATTTAACAAAAAATTCTGATTATGTTGTTTTAATATATCAATGTTTAATTTTGAATTTTGGATAAAATTATTAACCAGCAAAATTTTATTTTTTAAGTTAATAATTAACCAGCAATTATTTTACCGTGTTAACTGAGAAATCTTTCTCCAAGTCACGCATTCAATTCTCATATAAGTATTATTAGCATTTCTACTATTTAATAAATTAAGCTTGTGAAAGTGTATAGTCCTCTAACACGTGACGGCTATTGCATTTTAGTTTTTCAACGGTTGATTTAGTCCGTCTCGTGGGTATATGACTTTAAATGCTGATTAAGTCAATGAAGAAACAAATAAGTAGTAGGAGGCTTCATGCTGATAGTCATACCAGTGCATCACTAAGATTCAACAGTTAAGAAAATAACTAAAAATTTTGTACAGGCAGGCTCTCAGGTCCAAAAAAATAAATTTTTTAACTGATCAATAGTCAAATAGTTAATTATACATAATACATTATCAGACTTAACCATAGTTAATATTTGTTATCTTAATAGTCAATTTACCATATTTAGTCAATGCCTTTTTCAATCTCTCTCTCCTTAATCTCTTCTTACTTATGAACAAATCCCCCTAAATTGAAAAGAAAAAAAATTAAATGAGCAAAAAAGTTAAAAAAAAGCTTATTCACGAACCCTAAAAAATTGGTATCGTTTGAACCCATGAAAAAAACTTATTCAGTAATTATTCCACACTTCGTTCTCAATTTGTTCTTTTAACCCTGCAATGCGATCTTAGTTATTTTCGATTAGATATTGAGCATCATTTGGAAACTAATTTAAGAATTGTCCCACATGTATCTAGAGGACAGGGAACCAATTGGCATATTGGAAACATATGATAGATTAATGGCATGAGAAGGAATTTCCAATTTACATTGCAAATTGATAAATAACCTTTAGTTTGATATACCTATGCAAGTAATACCATGAATTGCTAGACTTATAGTATTAAAGTTCTTATTAATGATGATCTAAATTGGAGAAATTGTGAAGTGGTAAATGGGGAGTGTGTGTGTTATATATATGCACTTGACATGGCTTGGCCAAAATGTTTCTACATGATTATTTTCAATCACCGAAAAAAGTAAAAAAGAAGTTGAGTAATAGAAATAGTTTTTGAGATATTTTAAAATTTTGAACGGGAATTTTCTGATACCATAAACTATTTCCAAAATTGGAATAATGAGATTGGATATTTAATTGTATTTATGTGTAAAATTTAAAAGAAATTGTAATGCATGAAAATTATGGTAAATTGACTATTAA